CTCATTCTTTGTAGATCTAGACATTATTTAATTCCCACTCCCTTCTCAAGTCTCTAACACCTCTTTCCCCATTCTAACTCGCCACTGATTACACTGCTTCTTATTTCATTGAGAAAAGAGAAGCTCTCCAAAAAAAACTCCTACAAGCTCACCTTAGCAAATCTGCCAACTTCTGTGTACTCCTTCCTCTTGTGAGAATTAATGGACTATCCTTGTTCCTAAGGCCAGGCCAACCGCCCCCCGTCTTATGCACTGGGGCCCAACATTCTTACAACTGACTCCTCTATTGCCTCATTAAACATTATTCCCACCTAATCATTATAGTCTTAGAGTCATGTATAATAGCTCTCATTTAACAAGAGAAAGCAAAAACACCTTCTCTCAACCTCATATTCCCCTACAGCTTCTGCACCATTCCTTCATTCCCTTTTGCAGCACAGCTTCAAGAAAGGATAAGCCATGCCTGTATCTCCTTTTCCTCTCCTACTGCTTTTCTGAATTTACTCCCATCAGCATCACACCACAGAAACAGCTCTTTTCAAGGTCACTAATGACCTCCATGTGGCGAAATCCAATAGCCAATTAACAGTTCTCATTCCACATAGCCTATTTGTGGCATCTGACCCAGTTGTTCACATCCTTTTCTTAAAACATTTTCATCGTTTATCTTCTGCAACACCATAGTCTTCTGGCTTTCCTACTATCTCGCATGCCACCCCTTCTCAGACTCCTTTGATGATTTCTCACATTTCCAATCTGAAACCACTGTAATGCTCCAGGGTCCAGTCCTGGACCCACTTCTCTTTTCTCTACCTACAGGGTTTGTTAGGTTTGTTGACTTGCCACCCTGTTCTTATGTTGGCAGCACTGTATAAACAACTCAGTAAGGTATCATAACTAACCGTGGTATATCAGTGTGTCACAACTGTGTTCATGTCGATGTGTGGTAGTGTCTTGCTGAGTGGCATTCATTATTGTTGTTGCATGTTTTTGTGTGCCTTCGTGGGAATGTTGGAACTTGAACTAGAGCAACGAACAAAAATTAAATTTCTTGTTAAACTTGGCAAGAGTGAAAGTGAAATCAGGGATATTGTAGTCCAAGTTTATGGCAATAATGCCATGAAGAAAACAGCAGTGTACAAATGGATTAAACACTTTTCTGAGGGGAGAGAAAGTGCCACTGATAAAGAGAGGTCAGGACAACCAGTAACAAGCAGAACTGATTAAAATATTGCAAAAATTCACCAAATTTTGCGTTAAAATTGTTGGCTGACCGTGAGAAGCATAGCAGACAAAATAAACATAGATAAACGGGAAAATCTTAACTGAAAATCTTGGCATAAGAAAGGTGTGTGTAAAAATGTTACCAAAGGAGCTCTTGAATAATGACAATGCACCAGCTCACAGAGTACTGTGGGAGTTTTTAGCTTGTAAACAAATAACTGATTAGAACACCCTCCCTACCCACCTGATCTGGCCCCCCAATGACTTTTTTCTTTACCTGAAGATAAAGGAAATATTGAAAAGAAGACATTTTGATGATATTCAGGACATCAAGGTTAATACGGTGATAACTCTGATGGCCCTTCCAGAAAAAAGAGTTCCAAAATTGCTTTGATGGTGGACTAGGTGTTGGCATCAGTGCACAGCTTCCCAAGAGGAGTACTTTGAAGATAACCATAGTGATATTCAGCAATGAGGTATGTAGCACTCTTTCTAGGATGAGTTCATGAACTTAAGTGTCAGACCCCATATATTCACTCTCTAGGTTATCTCCTATAGTTTCAAGACTTTACCTTCACCCAAATTTCTATCTCCAGCTTGTACTGCAGTCCAAACATGTACACAATTACCTACTTGAATTTCTACTTAGACATCTAATACACACCTCAAAATTTACATGTCCAAAAGCAAAGATTTTACTGTCTCCCCCAGGCTAGGATTCCTAGTTTAGAAATGCCAATATCCTAATTGCTTAGTCACTTGGCTCACCAGTGACTTCTCTCCCTTTCTCCCACCCAACATCAAATTGTGTTAGCTCTACCTTGAAAATATATCCTTTGATTATAAAGGCACCACGTTGTGTTAGCTATACTTTCAAAATGTATCCTTTGATTACATAGATATTTTGCGGTGATAGACATATGTGTTCCTAAAAAAAAGTCAAACTTGCATTTTGCAAAACTGTTCACTAAAAATGATAGTGGTCATTGAAAAAATAGATTGAGGTCGGGTGGTGGCTCAGCCTGTAATCCCAGCACTTTGGGAGTCCAAGATAAGAGAATTGCCTGAGCCCAGGGGATCGAGACAAGCCTGGGCAACTTGGTGAGACCCCGTCTCTACAATAAATCACAAAAACTAGTCGGGTGTGGTGGTGTGTGCCTGTAATTCCCGCCACTTGGAAGGCTGAGGTGGAAGGATCACCTGAGTCCAGCAGGTCGAGGCTGCGGTGGCTGTGAGCATGCCACTGCACTCTAGCCTGGGCGACAGAGTGAGACTCCAACTCAAAGAAAAAGAAAAAGAAAAAACAGATTGAGGTAAACCAAAGCTTTGTCACCGTGTAACTAGAGTGGTGCTATAAAAAACATTGACAATTTGAAAAACTACATTAGTATGTTGAAAAAGATATGTCATATTACTTAAAAATAAAAACATGCTGTAGTAATCATAGAATTTCTTCTTTTTAAAAAATGTATCAAGCTTAATGTAGAGATGGGCTAAAGAAGGAGTTAAGACTGCAAAATTATGAGACAAGGGCAAAATGCACAGAGATTGGGAGTATCTGTGCAAAAAGCATTTCCAAGGCAAAACATGTGGCCAAACTGAATGCAGAGGAATATAGGATGAATGGATGGGATTCCCGTACAGACTCTGAGACTTGCTGGTAGTACAGATAATTAACATACTGAGAAAAATTGTATGTGAACTTTCACGTTATAATGACATCATTCTCCTATTTTCCAATCCCTCATGAGCTAGTTTATGTTGTAAAAACACACGCTGGCAGTGGGAGACACAGTATCTTCTGTTTCTTGCAGTGTGACAGATTAGAGCCCTGGAACCACCATCCTAGTGAGAATAACTAAAATTGCTGGAAGAAATTTTTAAAAACTCTTAAAATGCAATGACTATATTAACAAAAATAGAATATGAACTTGTAAAACTCAATTGATCCAATGGAAAGCAGAAAGGAAAAAAATCAGAGTGCAATACATATGAAATATTAAATCCAAGTGCTATACATATGAAATGTATCCTATGAATAACTCAACTTTCTTGGCACCTGAGGTTCAAAGTAAAGAAAAAATCTTCATCAAGAGACCTTTGTAAAGGAAAGTTTCAAAAGAAAAATGATCCCAAATGAAATATTTGAGATACGAAGAAAAATGCTGAGTAAATAAAATAATAAATGTGTGGTAAATGTAATCACTGACCATATACAATAATATTTAATTTGTGAAGTTAAACAACATTAACAAAGGGGGCCTATCTGTATTTTCCCATATACCTTTGAAGTAGTTATTTTTTCTGAGAGAGTTAAAAATATACCACTCTGACATATTGAGTATTTTAATTTATAGACACTTGAAAAATAGCAGGTGCAAGAAGATCATTCTGATCTTCCTTCTGTTTCTTAAAAGTAGGAGATGAAATTTCCATGTTAAAGAATGCCCTTCCTATACTAGAAGAAAAGCCACATTCTTATCATCAGGGATGGGTATGTGAAACCAAGAGAATTCTGCACAGATCTTGTTAAAATAATGTCTATCTTTTCATCTTCTTCATATATTTGTTTTTTTCACAAATTACTATTCTTTATCCAACTCAGTATATGAGTGATTGACACTAACTGCTTCTTTAGGTCTTCGTTTCCTTTTGAGAGTTCCTGTGTCACATAAAACTCATATTAAATAAAGCTGTATGCTTTTCTATTAATCTGTCTTATATCAATTTAATTCTCAGGTCCAGCTGCGGGAGGAGGGCAACTTAAAAGGAAAGAGGTAAAATTTTGCCTTACCTACACTAGGTACTTTACAAGGCAGGACATGTTCTCCAGCCTAAAGGAGGTGACACAGGTAATGATGATACAGTGTGACAAGTGCTTTAATTCAGTGATCCCCAGCCTTTCTGGCATTAGGGACTGGTTTCATGGAAGACAATTTTTCCATGAACCGGGGAGTTGATGGCTTCAGGATGATTCAAGAACATTACATTTATTGTGTACTTTATTTCTATTATTATTACATTGTAATATATAATAAGATAGTTGTACAACTCATCATGATGTAGAATCAGTGGGAGACCTGAGCTTGTTTTCCTGCAACTAGACGGTCCCATCTGGGGGTGATGGGAGATAGTGACACCAGAAGTGTGTTGTGTATGTCTGGCCTACTCCATAATCTTGTTTTGGTTGCTGTCACTGCAGAAAACCCTGCTTCACAAAGATAGGATGCTGGAAAAGGAAGCAGGCTTTCCAGTGCTTTTGTGGCAATCTCAGGACATTCTACCTTGATTTTAATCCAGAACATATAGAAATTTAAAGTTGTTGCAAACATACATTTTTTTTAAGTTGGAGTTTCACGCTCACAGGCACCACAGCCTTGATCTGATGGACTCAGGCAATTCTTCTATCAGACAATCCTTCTGCCTCAGTACTCCAGGTAGCTGGAACAATAGGCATGTGCTACCATGGCCAGCTAATTTTTTTTTTTTAATTGCAGAGATACGGTCTCACCAGGTTTCCCAGGCTGGTCTTGAACCCCTGGGCTCAGGCAATCCTCTTGCCTTGGCCTCCCAAAGTGCTGAGATTACAGGTGTGAGCCACCGTGCCTGGCCTCAAACATTTTTTTTTTTAAAGCAGGATTTATTGAGAAGACAGAAAAGTTCCCACAGTGGGAGGAGACCCAAGGGGGATGTCCCCTAAAACATACTTTTAAGGCCACCATCATTTGCGATCTCAAGCAATTTATCATCCTCTAGCACAGACAAAGTCAATTCACCTGGCTTATTCACAAATGGGTCGTGGATCCATTTCTTCCCAGTTCAGGAATCTTGTGGTTGGGAAGTAATGCTCAAACTCTTTTGAAAGCTGACATAGGTGATCATGCACCAGCTGGTAGAAAGAAGGCCCTGGCTCAGCCCCTTTCAAAAATCTCTGCTAATGTTTGAAACATGTCAAAAATCCAAACTTTCACTTGTCACCCCCATAATTCCAGTTTGGCCTTGAATGTAGCCACTTTATCGGCTGACTTGAACAGTTGTTGTTCTCAAGTGACAGATTGAGTATGTTGAACAGTTTGAATATGTCATACAAGTAAGCAAGTTTTGCAACTCATTCTGTATCACTGAAACGTGCTGCCAGTGGTTATTGTTTTTCTAAGAGAAATCTCTGGAGGGGCTCTTGTAACTCAAAAACTCTGGCCAGTTATCTACCTTTAGAAAGCCATCTCACTTCTGTGTATAAGAAAAGATGTGTGTGCTCTGCGTCCATCACAGTGCTGTGCAAACAGACGTGAGTTAAGGGCATGTATTTTAATGTGACTCATAATTTTAACCACATCCTGCAAAACACTGTTAAGTTTAGGTGACATTTCTTTGGTTAGCCAGCATTTCTCCATGGATGACATGGTGCGTAGACTCACATTTAGAAGTGACTTCTTTAACCCAAGATGTGAAACTAGAAAGTCGCCTGGTCATGGCAGCCTCTGTCTGTGCATATATTGATCCAAAATGACCAAGTCAGTTTTCCTGATATATAATCAAAGACTTGAATAGTTCTGCAGCTATGGTATTGGTTGACAACAAAAGTGCACATAACATTTCTTCATGCACATCCCTCTGAAAAATATATCACACAAAAACAAGTATTGTTACCTTGTCAATATCGGTAGACTTGTCAACCTGGATTTCATACCACAGTGACTCATTATTCCTAACAATTGTACCTTAGTATTCTCTGCTATTTCATCAATTTGTCTAGCTATGGTGCTAGCCAAAAGAAGAACATGTGCCACCTTTTGAATTGCAGTTGCTCCTAAAAGTTCACAACAAACATTCTTAGCAGCAGGCAGGACTATTCACCAAAGGAAAGTACTTCTTTTCAACTATTCATCAACACTGAAGGACTTCTTAGTTTTAGTAATGCGGTTAGCACTAAGAATGATGCTCTCAGTGCAGACACATTTGACGAAGTGATGGCCTTCAATAATTGCTTCTGTTCTTCGTGGTCACGTTACTTTCTTTTGAAAAACTCCAAAGTCTCATCTTTTAATGCAGGTTGCTTGGTCTCCATGTAGCAAAGCAGTTTTGAAGGTTTCATGGCTTTGTTGGATAGCAAGTTGCTACATATTAAACAAAGTGGGCTTGGAGAATGTGAATCACCTGTTGCAATGACCCCTGTAATTTAAATAGGATTCTTGGTATTTCCTTTTAAGTATAGCTTTCTTTTTGTTGCAGTCTTAGTGTCTTCTGCTGTGTTATCATTCTGTGTCTTTCCCCCTTTCCAAAGAAGCTCTCCGGTGACATATTTTTTTACTAATTTGGCTGGGTTAGCTTGTGGGCTTACCGAAACTGTGACTGAGACAAGTACACAATGCAGGAAAGAGGCACGGACGGAAGTGGTAAATAAAATAATGTATGGGCCATGCACGGACTAAAATAAGTGTTAGATTCTGACTTAAAGCCTGCCACCAGATGCAGTTGTACAACTGAAGTACATCAACTCTCTTGCCACTCATTGATAGGGTTCTGATATGAGTCTGCAAGCAACTGATTTATTATCAGTTTCCAATATTTATTAGAAATGGTCTCTGTGCAGTCAAACCTCACTGCTAATGTTAATCTGTATTTGCAGCCACTCCCCAGCACTAGCATCACCATCTCAGCTTCACCTCAGATCATCAGGCATTAGATTCTCACAAGGAACATGCAACCTAGATCCCTTGCATGTGCAGTCCACAATAGGGTTTGTGTGCCTATGAGAATCGAATGCTGCCACAGGAGGCAGCATTGAGAGCAATGGGGAGTGGCTGTAAATACAGATGAAGCTTTGCTTGCTTAACTGGCTGCTCACCTACTGCTGTGTGGCCCAGTTCCTAACAGGTCACAGACCAGCACTAGTCTATAGCCCGGAGGTTGAGGATCCCTGCTGTAATAGAAATCAAAAGAAATAACCATCCTGCACTCTCTCACATTCATACATTTTAGAATGTATACTATTTATTTATTTATTTATTTATTTAGAGTTGGACTCTCTGTCACCAGGCTGGAGTGCAGTGGCACACTCATGGCCACCCCAGTGTCAACGATGGTCTCTGGTGATCCTTCCGTCCCAGCCTTCCAATTAGCCGGAACTACAGGCATGTGCTACTATGTCCGGCTAATTTTTGATTTATTGTAGAGCCAAGGTCTCGCCAAGTTGCCTAGACTGGTGTCGAACCCGCGGACACAGGCAATCCACTCGCCTCGGCCTCCCAAGGTGCTGGAATTACAGGCTGAGCCACCGTGCCTGGCCAGAGTATATATTTTTTAAGAGGCAGAAAATATACCCAACACATGAGAAGTACTTTTCTTTGGTGGGAAATAGACAGCAATTTTGCCCTTCTTTATACTTTTATACATTTTCCAAATTTTCTATAATTGTCACATATTAAGTTTTAGAATTAAGAAAAATTTAAATTACATATTCACAAAGAATAACTTACTCTATGTGAATTGGCACTCTTTAAACTCATTCTAAGCAGTTCATTTTCCTTTTTGGAACCATGAGAAAATGTTTCTTTTCCCTCTGTTAAGATACTAACATAGTTTGCATAAAAAGAAAATTCACTTTCTTACTATTAGTCCATGGCTCATATTTAAATCCATATTAAAAGTCCAGTAAGAGAGAGTTATTAAGAGATAACCATTCTATATGACTATCATCTGAAAAATAAACAGAAAACTCAGCTTTCCTTAAGTGTGAGTCTCTTTACTTCCTTCTAGTTGTCTTATATTATCATACACTATGTTTCCCACAGGTATGATGACACATAACCACAAATTTCTGCAAGAGTCCCACTCTCTAATATTTTTTTTATCAATGTACCAAGTTTCAAAACATGTCTCCCTATCTGCAATTTAGGAAATATGGTCATGATACCCATAAACAGAGAAAAGTCTACAAAACAATTAGGTTTATACTGCTATGCTAAAATTATTAAGATGTCTAAAATGTTAATAGAAGGTTACTTTAAAATAAATTATTGCCGGGCTCGGTGACTCAGCCTGTAATCCCGTGCCTTTGGGAGGCTGAGGTGAGTGGATTGCCTGAGCCCGCGGGTTCGAGACCCGCCTGGGCAGTGAGACCTCATCTCTACAATAAATCAAAAAATCAGCCGGGCATGGTAGTGCATGCCTGTAATTCCGGCTACTCGGAAGGCTGAGGCAGAAGGATCGCCAGAGCCCAGCAGGTCGAGGCTGCGGTGGCCGGGAGCAGTCACTGCACTCCAGTGTGAGCGACAGAGTGAGACTCCAACTCAAAAATAAATAAATAAATAAAATAAAATAAAAATAAATTATTGGTATTCTTTAAAATGGTTTTTGGTTAGTTTGACAGCTTCACTTTTATGTGGTTAATAATAGCTGGAAAGCTAACTATATGCTCCAGGCACTATATCAAGATCTTCAAATACTTCATTGTCACCACAATCATAAGGGATCATTACTTTCCCACTTTATAGGTGAGGAGGTAGTCTTAGAGAGGCTAAGGGACTTGCCTTGTCATGTAAGGAATAAGGGGGGGTAGTTAGAATTCATACTCAGGAGGGCCAAAACCAGAGACTGAGCTCATATTATGCCAAATTGTTTAGAAGTAGACAACCAAATTAACTGAATTACATTTTGCTGTTTGGAAGCCTATTGGAAAACTCCTCAAAATATCTACAAAAAGTTGAATAGTATAGTAGAACGAAAACAGGAATCAAAGTCTAATTTTATCACTTTCTGGTAAGCTTCAGTTTCCTATTCTTTAAAATGGCAGGTACAATATCTATTTCTAATAATAGCTATAATTTATTGGATATTTGTTAGGTGCCGAGTACCTGTGTGAAATGTTTTATACACATTAACTTGTATAAACCTCATAAATCCTTTTTTTAAAAAAACATTCTATTTATTTTCTTCATAGAAACAGGGTCTCATTTCCAGGCTGACTTGACCTCCTCAAGCAATCCTCCCACCTCATCTCTCAAAGTGTGGGGATTATAGGCATGAGCCACTGTGCTGGACCTCATATCCTTTAGAAGAAGCTATTAACATCTCCATCTTACAGATAGGATTTTAGTCTCAAAGAAGCTGAACTTGCCCAAGGTTACTCAGAAAGACAATGCTAAAGGCAATTTTTCACTCTCATCTGCCTAATGTTAAAGTTCATGCTCTATTATGCTATCCTGCTTTTTGTTCTAAAGGAGCCGGATTTTAAAATAATTTGGAAATTGGGTTGTCCTTTAATAACGAAATTTAAAAATCAGTAAGCTACCTGTGTGAGCCTAGATGTGGAAACACAGCAGGGTGATTCCCAGGCAACCTGAGATAATTCATTAGCTCAATTAAAGAAAGTATCTCAGAAAATAGGTTGATCAGTTTTGTAAACACCAAAAAGAGTAAAAAGAGTCAAAAAATAACATTATCTACCCATCTAAGCACGAGGTGCCCTGGTCTTAAAATATAAGAGGTCCAGAAATGAGGACAGTTGTAGATAACTCTATTGTGAAAAATCAGGCTATCTTGCTAGTGCTCTACAAATTTAGAATCATGGCTCAATAAAGAAGGACAAAATTAGCTGGGCTCGGTGGCTCAGCCTGTAATCCTGCACCTTGGGAGGCTGAGGTGAATGGATTGCCTGAGCCCGTGGGTGGAGACCCGCCTGGGCAACTTGGTGAGACCTCATTTCTACAATAAATCAAAAAATTAGCCGGGTATGGTAGTGCACGCCTGTAGTTCCAGCTACTTGGAAGGCTGAGGCGGAAGGATCGCTGGAGCCCAGCAGGTCGAGGCTGTGGTGGCCAGTCTGGGCGACAGAATGAGACTCCAACTCAAAAAAAAAAAAAAAAAAAAAAAAGAAGGACAAAATTATGGACTTCACAGCAACTTGGACTGATTTAGAGTC